GTCTAATGCAAAAGACAGACCAATAAACCACTAACTGGAAAGATAAGTGGTATAATAGAGGCAAAGAAAAATGCTGTAAGGAGAGGGAAGAGTTATAAGCTTGACCTCAGGCCTTGGCTCCAACATCTGTTCCCCTGGGAAGCTTTTTTCAACATCCCGGCCAATGCTGCACTTTCGCTGGAAAGTGTGTGTGTGTGTGTGTGTGTGTGTGTACACACACATGTTTGCTATCTCTTTCCCTCTAACTGTGAGCATCTTGAGGGAAGAAACTGTACCCCCAGCACCTGAAACAACAAAAATATGCTCTTTATCAACAACTATTTGAGATCAATGTCCCCGAGGTGTGGGAAGAGATTCCCAGAGAGGTGATATGTGAAGCAGGTCTTAAAGAATCTCGTAGTCTGCCAGGCAGAGAAGGCTTTGCAGACCTAAGATTCAACGTTCAACTGCCATGTCCAATCATCATATATGCCTTTAATGCATACAGCTTTTGACTTATTTTTGCAAATGTATCTTATAACTCACAGTGAGGAAAGAATGTAATCCCATAACAAGTTCCAAGAGCTAAGTTTCTATTATTACTATAAAAATCTACCATTCAAGGGGGAAAAAATCCTACAATATGGGTTCTTAGAGACTTATTTTTACTTAAAACTCTCTCAGTAACTATATTTTAGTTTAAGACCTTCAAAGAAATTGACCAAGCCCAGCAGATCAATAAACTAGATTTAGTAAGAAAACCTCAGAAACTTAAGTACTTAATTTCTTTAGAACTTTACTTTTCTTAAATTCAAATTAATTCATGTGAATTTTCAAGTTAACTTGAAGAATGGAAGTATCACTTATCAAAATCATAAAAACTGCCCTGGCTGGGTGGCTCAGTTGGTTGGAGCATGGTCCCATACACCGAAAGGTTGCGGTTCAGTTCCCAGTCAGAGGTGCATGCAGGAGGCAATCAATGCTTCTCTCTCTCTCTCTCTCTCTCTCTCTCTCTCAAATTAATAAAAACATGCTCAGTAAGAATTATAAAAAAAAATCACAAAAATCTCTCACATGCCAAAAAATTCAATCAGCTTATTTACTACTGACTGAGGGGTAACAGGCCGAGATAACGCAAAACGACATTTTACTTTTGGAAGTGGAAAGGCAGAGACTGGTGGCTATTAATTATTTTGGCTCCTGGCAAACACTTCACCAGAGCTACACACCCACTCCCTGCTTGAGAGGAGGACAGCTACAGCCTAGTCAGTTTTCTGGAAGGTTCTGAGTAGGGAAAGGCAGCCCAGGCCCTCATATACTCAGTAAGTAGCCACACAGGTAGAGAAAGAGCGTGTCCTTTTAGTCCTGAAGGAATCTGACTTGGAGAGGGGATCTGCCAAACTTTCAATCTTTCCTTGAACAGAAAAGGACACGGAAGCCCAGGGAACTAGGTGAGTTTTTCTCAAATCCACAATCAGTAGAACCCAGGGATCTTCACTTGGTCAGCCATCATTTCTACTATCCTTGGCCATCTCTTGTTAGGACATCAACATTTTACAAATACAGCCAAAATGTTCAGTAGGTGAGAACACTCATGGAACAGAGCTGAGACTTGGAGTTCTGACTCTTAATCTGGAACATGAGAATTTAAGAGTGAGTCATCAGGACAGCTTCAGTTATGTATCAGAGATGAGACAAACTCGGCTGGCTCACAGCTTCACCCAACTCAGTCTCATTTTCCCCAATATTGACGGTTATGACAAACAGTCCTCCTCTGAGAGAAGGTTTTAAAGAATAAACAGGACTACCGAGATACCCCGCACCAACCAGTGAAATTAAGCTAGCAAGGTGAGGTACACCAATAGGCCTAGCGTAGCCTGCTGGCCAACTGTAGCACAGGAGTGCCAGCCTAGACCAGCACACTGTTTTTAGTTGCCAGAGACTCTCAAAGTCAAGGGCAGAAAAAAAATCTGGGCCATGCAAATTTCTTTTGTTATCTGAGTTCAATGTGATTGGGGTTCTGAATGAGTGTTCATGCCATGGGCAGTCTTGAGCCATCGCTTTCTCTATTCGTCACTGAAAGTATTTTAGGAAAAACAATGTTTCCTAAACTACAAACTTCATGGGACAGAAGAGGCAGAGAGGAAGAGAGTCAACCATAATGGTGTAAAAATAATATTAGAGAATCTTGTAGTCAATTTTGACAGCATGGGCAATATTTACAGACCTATTTTTACTGATCAAATAAAAACTATAAGTTCTTCGGTGTGATAAATCTGAACACTGGAGCACACAATTTTAATTAAAAGTTGAAACTATTTAAATTCTCTAATAATTGATATTAGAGCATAGATGGTGTTTTTTTTTCTTAAAATCTCTCTTGCAACAGGGTACTCCACTCATTACTGGAATATTCAAGACTTAGACAAAGATCCATTGTCAGAGAGAATGCCACTATGACAAAAGAAGTGCACAAATTTTCTTCTTTTGCAGTAACTGAATACTGCTGGAAACAAGCGATCAATTGGCTAGACTAGGAAAACATTTCTGTTGTGCAAATATTTGTTGCATCATTATTTATCATATGATGGTATAATTTAGACTCTATGGGTCTCATCCTCATGGGAAGAAAATGTTCCAACCCTTCCATGTACAGCTGAAACTACAGTTTGAGAACTGGACTCAGTGGACCGTGTACTGCCTAGGCAATGACAAACTCAGTGCACAATATATGTTCTCATTAATTAACGTGCATAATGGTTATCTTGACCAAATTCCCCCTATGATGATATTCATCTTTGGAGTACATTAATTTCATGTAGCAAATGTACTGTTAAAATTACTTCAGAGGAAGGTACTAAAATCTTCAGGCCACCCTAGGCACAGTATCCCAAGGGCATGCCAGTAATGGGTGTTTAATCCATAGACATTGCCTTGATCTTTCCATGGGGCTGCTACTCCAGTGTTGGGCCAGTCAATCTGTTACTCAGTTTTGAAATATCTAGACCAGCCGTGGGCAAACTACGGCCCGCGGGCCGGATCCGGCCCGTTTGAAATGAATAAAACTAAAAAAAAAAAAGACCGTACCCTTTTATGTAATGATGTTTACTTCAAGGGCATGCCAGTAATGGGTGTTTAATCCATAGGCATTGCCTTGATCTTTCCATGGGGCTGCTAACCCATTGTGGCCCTCGAGTCTGTTACTCAGTTTTGAAATATCTAGACAAATGTTGTTCTTAGGTTTCTAACACCATAAAGATACGGAGTGATAAAAGCCTGTTTAACAATGTATCTTTATTTTACATTGACTCCTCCAGTTGGCATCACCTCCTCAAGTAGCCTTTAAAACCAAAACACACAACTGACCAAGAGAATGTGTGAAGTCGCTAACACACACATAGGCTGAAGAGACAACTTAAGTTTGGCTGGGTCTTCTTCTAGCCAGACAAGGGAAAACTTCTGGCAACAGTGATCAAATAGAGAAACTCAACCACTTCCACGACTCCTCAGTGTGGCCACATCAGTGTATGAGAGGTGAACTGTAGAAGAAAGAGCATCTACTGCAGGGATTGTGGGACAAGTCATGTTACTTTCCTCGTGTGTGTGTGTGTAAAATGGGCACAGTGCCTTCAGAACATAAGAACAGGAGGAAATGATATAAGAAAGACAGAAAGTTTAATTTCCTCTCCCTGCCAAGCCAATGTTGCTATGACTATAGCAAATGTGCCATTTGCATGAAGAAAGATGCATGAGGGCAGACTGTATATAAACATGCAGGCAGCAAATACTTGGGTTCTGTCTGATCTCTACAGGTGATATTTAGATCTGGCATACCTTGTTTTATTGGCATTTCACTTTATTGTGCTTCACAGGTGTTGTGTTTCTTTACAAATTGAAGGCAGGACCCTCCACCAGCAAAAAGATTACAACTCACTTTATTGTACTCCTGGCTTTATTGTGGCGGCCTGGTACCGAACCTGCAATGTCTCCTAGATATGCCTGTACTTACTTAGTAATGCTTTTTTTTTCTTTAGAAGAAAAGAAGAGTAAGTATTGCAGGAATTCAAGGATGACTCAACATACAACCAATCAGTCCCTTTGAGTGAAACATGGTTGACACTTGAGTGAAGCAGTTGCCAAGCAACTGCTGATTCCAATGGCCTGTAACCATCATCCTTACTAGCTAATTTCAATAGAAGAGAGGGCAAGAGAGATTGACCTTGATTCACCTCATTACCAACCAAATGTAGAAAACCCTTTAGAACAGTGGTTTTCAACCTTAGTTGCACATTCGAATCACCTGTGGAGCTTTTACAACTCGGGATGCCCAGGCCACACCCCAAACCAATTACATCCTAACCTGGAAGGGGTTGGGGGGGGGGAGGGAAAGGGGGGATTAGGCACCTATATTTTTTAAAATCTCCAGTGACCCAAGATGCAGCCAAGGTTAAGAACAATTGCCTAGGATCACCCCTCCTGAGCTCATATAATTTCTGCTGGGAGTCCAACCAGGAAAGCCAACCTAGAGCTTTTCACAGCACAACCTTCTGAATAGAGCAGATACAACAGGGTCCCTCCCACTGGCTGGCACCACAGGTGTCTCCACTGAGGTCCACACACAGGGGGCTGAGCAAACAGCTTATTTGCTAAAGGGTTACCCAGATCCTCACTGGGGAGCCACCTTTTCAAATAGTTTGCAATTAAAAAACAAGTTCGCCAATTTTAAGAGATGTCACCGAAGTCCAAAGCCCTCTAGGATGTTTTCTTTGTTTTGTTCTTTTCTTATTTTTATAAGGCAAATCTCTTGGGAAGGACAATCAGAGGACAGCGCGCTCCACACAGAGCTTAAGGAAAAGCAGAGATAATGTACAATTCCCGTGGCCTAGAAGACACCCTGTAGGCTCCCTCCCCCTACCCCCCCACCCCTCACCCCCGCGTGGGGTAAGGGTGTGCGCGCGCGCGGGCCCGCGGCCACTGCACCTGCTGGGGCGCACCTGCTGCGCTGGGCCCTCCCCTCCTACCTTCCAGCAGCTCGTCCAGGCTGGTGACCTTTCTGCTGCCGTCGATGGTGTAGATGGTGCGGACGCCCTGGGGCAGGTTCACGTTGTCTGACAGGGAGCGGGTGAGCTCCATGAGCAGCGCGTCGAAGGACCGGAAGCGGTCGCTGGAGATGGCAAACACCAGGCCCTTGAAGTAGCGGTCCCCATTCCGGTAGAAGCGAGCCTTCTTGGCCTTCTTCTCGGAGCTCAGGGCCTGCAGGGTCCGCGTGCGGTAGAAGCTGCAGTGGGCACTGTGCGCCGGGCTGGGGATGAGCCCGTTCCCCTTGGGGCCCGAGCTGCTGCTGCCCCCGGACGAGCTGGGCGCCCCTCTCCGCGACCCGGGCCGCGGCCTTTTGTCCCGTTCCTCAAAGTGCTCCAGCTCAATGCTCCTGGTGCTGGCCATCGCGGCGGCTCCGAGGGTTCCCCGCAAACACACGTCCCAGCCAAAGCCTGCAGGTAGCCCAGCGCCCACGCGAGAACCAACTCCGAAACGCCTGGCCGCGAGGGGCCTTTATAGCGCCGGGACACCTGGCTCTGGCATCCCGCCCTCTCCTCGCAGGTGGAGCCGCGGAGCCGCGGAGGCGCCGGCCCTCCCGCGTCCTCCTATAAGCGGCCGCAGCGTCCAGCGGCCGGGCTCATTGTCCAGCGCGGCTAGCTCGGTCCCTCCCGCCCGCCGGGGAGCCCCACGCCCCCACCAAGCGCCTCCTCTACCCAGCCCCGCCTCACAACGCCCGCTGGGGAGCCGGCCGAGAGCCGCGCAGACGGGCCGCCCCAGGCTCGCCCCGGGCCCGCGGGCGCACACAAAGCTCGGGCGCCCGGTGCGGCTCGCATCCGCCGGCTGCTGCCC